GAGGCACAGGAGGGTGGCGTGGATGAGGAAGAGGGGGAGAGAAAGAGAGAGATGTACGCACGCACGCACGCACACACACACACACACAGAGAGAGATGTACGCACGCACGCACGCACACACAAGCACACACACACAACTACACATACACACGCACGCACAAGCACACACAAAAGCACACACACACACACCCACATTCAAGCACACACAAATATCATGTGCATGCGCACCTGTCCAACGTCGATGATCCAGGCCATGCGGTCAAACCAGAGGATGTTGTACTCGCTCAGGTCGCAGTGGACAAGATGGCACTGGTTGTACATCGTGCACATGTAGTCGCACACCTGCTGGTAGCACCGCACCAGGTTGCGTTGCGACTTGCGCTCCCAGTCCACGTCCTTGAGCTTGGGGGCGGGGCGGCCGTTTCGTCCAATAAAGGACATGACGAGCACGTGGCGCCGCTGCAGATACACATGCGGGCACGGAATGCCGGCACGCTCCAATCTAAACATGAGGGCATGGACAACGATTGTGGTGGTTACGTGTCGGGGGCAGGGGTCGGGGGCAGGGAGGGTAAAGTATGTGAGGTGCGTCCAGGTGTACACGAGCACATCAACATAAGTCAACAACAGGCAATGAGCAGAGACAAGCAACAATGCAAACAGACAAAAGAAGACAAGAAAATCCCAAATGCAACGGGGACCACCAACAACGCCAGCATCACAGGGCAGCCAACACAACGAACACAACGCACCTCGCCAGGTTCGCCATTTCCTTCTCTGCCCAGAGCTTGACCAGCTTGCGCGCGTGCTGCTTGCCCACGCGGCGGTCGTACCGGCGATCACCGTGCAGAAACTGCTGTCGCTGCGTAAACTCCGTCAGCGTGGTCTTGAACACCTTCAACGCCACCTCAACCTCGTGTCCTGGCATATCGCCATCGTCGTCACCGCTGGGTGTGCTGTCAATATGGGCGCCCTCAGCACCATCAACACCTTCAACACCTTCAACGCCAGCACCATCGTCGTGTCCATCGTGCTCGTCGCCGCTGTGTGCTGGTCGCTGCGTGCGCGTGCCGTGAAAGATGACGCTCTCCTTGCCCGTGCTCACGGCGCCGTCGACCTCATTCAGGTCGCCAGCGTTGACCATCTTGAACACAAGCACGCGCGTGTTCTTGTCCATCGCCATGACGGCTGTGGAGTGCTCCTTGCGCTCGTGCAAGCGGGCGGCGTGGCGTGCGTCCTTGTCTGCAAACCGCTTCAACTGGTTGTACACGCGGTTGCTCAGCCGCACGTCGTTGTTGTTGCGCTTCACGCCCTTCAGGTCGCCACTGTTGAAGGCAACACAGATGGTGGATGATTGTGGTGAGAAGAAGAGCGGCACACGTTGCACAAGTCATCGTGGCAAGTCATCGTGGCAAGTCATCGTGGTAAGTCATCGTGGTAAGTCATCGTGGCAAGTCATCGTGGCAAGGCGTAGAGTGCACACACACACACACACACATACACGCACACGCACACATACACGCACACGCACACACGCACACGCGCACCAGTTGAATCCGATGGGAAAGTGCTTCTCCATGCGCTTGCGGTTCCTGCGCTCGTTGTCGTGCTTGTTGTGCTTGGTGACAATGGCACCGCCCATGTCGCGAAAGGAGCGCACCCTGTGGTCGTACTCAACTGCCTCCTCCTTGCTGTCGTCCCACTCCTCGTCCTCTTCCTCCTGACTGTTTGCCGAGGCAATGAACGCAATGAACACAGACGGGGGCAGCAACGACACGCGTGAGCACATGTGTGACGATGCACAGGCGAAAGAAATCATCATGCAAACACTGGTGCACGCAAACACACACATACATACACGCAAACACACATAAAACGCAAACACACATAAAACGCAAACACACACGCACACACACACGCACACATACATACATAAACGCAAACATACACACATATACACGCAAACAGACACACACACTTCGCCTCCCTTTTCTTGCTCACTCACGTAAAGTCGTGGCTGGGCGGGGAGTTGTCGACTGGGTAAGTGCGATGGTTGGACATGCGGATCTTCAGCTTGCCCGTGGACATGTTGGCAAGCGTCTCAATGTGGTCAAGCTGCTCCTCATGCTCTTCATCCAGCTGCTGCTGAAGCATGAGCGCAATCATAAAGTCCTGCGACGTGTCCTCGGAAGCGCCCTGCTGCTGTTGCGCAACTGTGCCGAATGTCGCGGTGGTGGTCGATGCAGAGGACGAGGAGGAGGAGGTTGCCTGCGCATCCTCCAGCGCTTGCAGCTTGGCAGCAAGCTCTGCATCGCGACGGCTCTGCTCCTCTGGCGTGAGCGCCTCCGCCTCGGCCTCAGCGCCGGGCTCAGTTGTCGTTTGCGCTGGCTGTGGCGCGGTCATGGACATGCCGCCGTCCATCATCATGGGGGACGAGTGCGTTGCATTGGCCTCACCTTGATGGGCCTTGGCGTACTGCTTCTCCTCCTCCTGCAAGCGTCGAGCAAGCTCTGCGTCTTGTCGGTTGAGCTCCTGCTCCAGCTGAATTGCGGCGAGGGAGGGTGGCTGCTTGGACGGGTCTTGCTGTTGCTTGGATTTGGGTGCCGGCTGCTTCCAAGGTGCCGGCTTTCCCCATGGCGATGCGCGGGTTGGGCGTGCCGCTGGGGCGCTCGTCTGGGTGCTCGGTGTTGGGGATGTGGCCTGAACAGGCGAAGCTGCGACATCGGACGACATCTTCGTTGTTGTTGAGAAAAGGGAAAAACGGTAGCTGTTCTTCAGGTGACCAATAGATATGCAGATTATTAAGTGGTCGAAAGGGCGGCTAAAGCGGTTACAAGAAGGTGCTGCTACTGCTCTTAGCTGGCTGGTTTGGTTGATGTGTTGCGCGCGCGCGTGTGTGTGTGTGTGTGCGTGTGTCGCTGCTCGATGTGAGTTTGCAACGGTGAAGAAAATGGTGCGATATGAGCAGCAGGTGCAGCGTGGTGGCTGGCTGCGCAAGTTACACAGTGTGACAAGGTGTTGCGCTGCTGCTGTGTGTTTTTTTGATGATGTTACGCACCAGACTGAATTCAGTTTTCAGTGCGATTGAAGAAATGTTGGGGTTATGGTTCATATTATTCGGACACAACACAAGCAACGCAAACGACAGGCGACAGGCAGAAACGAAGCCAACAGCAAGAGCAGAAGCAGTTCAAACACAACAGACACAACAGACACACAACTCAAGACACACAACACACACACATCAAACACAAGACACAACGATTGTTTCGTCTACGAAGAAAGGCCAAGATGCATGGTCGCTCTACTCCGAGGGAGGGAAGAAGATGGCAGGGGCGCCGGGGCGGCAGCTGCCCTTGGTCTGTGTGTACACGCGCAACAAGGAGGTGGAGCAGACACGGAAGACAGGGTTGTGTGAGATGTGTAGGAGGGAGTGAGAGGGAGCACGACACATGGCCGGAAAAACAATAAATTGCACCCCCAAGCACATGCTCACAAACCACCATGCACGGTCGCAAGCATGCTCGCAAGCCAGGGCATTCGCACCTTCTCGTCGGCCTCCTCGACAGGCTGGACCTCAATGGGGAGATCAAAGATCTTCCTGAGATACGGCAGGTTCTCCTGAAATTGTGGTGGCGCAGAAGCATCGACAAAGCATCGATCGACACAGCATTGACACAGTAACAAGAAGGAAGGTAAGCGTGAGCTTACACATTTGCTGACAGCCGAACCACTCATATCCAGCACACTGTGCGTGTGCGTGTGTGTGTGTGTGTTTGCGTGCGTGCGTGCGTGCGTGCGTGCGTGCGCGCGTTGTCGACAACGCTTGGCTCACCTTGAGGACTTGCGTCTCGTTGAAGGTGACAGTGAGGTCAAAGGCGGCACTGCCCTTGGTGGCGGCCTCATCACGCTTCATGGCAACAAACGGCATCAGCAGCTTCTTGTGCTTCGCCATGTCAGGGTCATTCTGCGAACAGCAGCAACAATACATATGTTTAGCGGGTGGAGAAGGTGGCGGCCGTGTTTGACGCGGGAGTGGTGAGGGAGCAGTGAGTACGACAACAGGAGATGCCGCACAAGGGAAGGCACACACACACACACACACACACACACACACACACACGGGCATACGTACACACGGGCATACGTACACACGCACACACACACACACCCGCCACCCGCCACGACCCAAGACACCCAAGACAAGTAGACAAACGGCTGACCTTGAACTGCTGGCTGACGGCCTTCATGTCCGGGAAGCGCTCCGCGGGGGTGGCGCCGTCCGGGTTGTAGTTGTCCTTGAGGTACGTCAGGATCTTCGCCTGCCAGTCAGGATACGTCGACGCAACATACAGCACAACTGCAACAAGCAAAAACAAATGGGCGAAAAACAAGGTGCACAACACACGGCGTGAGTGTTGTGTTGTGTTGTGTTGTTCGGGCGTGTCGTGTAAGGAGTTGTGCAGGACAAGGGAATCGAAGGAAAGGGTGCGAGGCGGACATGGACCAAACAAAACCTTGTGACATCACGCTGTCAACCCCACAAGCAACCAAACTGTGTTCCGCATCTTCACACGCACGCAAATGCACACACACACACACGCACACACACACACACACACGCACACACACACACACGCACACACACACACGCACACACACACACGCACACACACGCAAATGCACACACACACACACACGCAAATGCACACACACACACACACACACACAAATGCACATGCCCGTACCGCTGGTGATTTCCTGGACGGGCCCCTTCTTGCGGGCCTTTGCCTTGTTGATGCGCTGGCGGAGGTCCGTCTCCACGTCATCGAGGTACCGCCCAGAGGACAGCATGACCTCGTCCACGGGGCCGGCCTCGGGCCACCGCGCCGTCGTGATGCTCTCCTCGTGCCCGAGCAGCGCCCAGATGTGCTCGCACACGTGCGGGCAGATGGGCGACAGCAGCAGGGCCTGCACCGTCACAAAACGCTCGACAACGCCGGCATGCAGGGGCTCGCCCAGGCCGACGCACACCTTGCGGTAGCGGTCGCGCGCAGCCTGCAGGGTGAAGAAGCCCGCCATGAGGGCCTCGCGGAAGTGCATGCGCTTGTACGCAGCGTCCGCGTCGCGGATGGCAAGGTTGATCTCGTTCTCAAACGCCTTGTCGTTCACACCCATCTCCCCAGACCGCACGGCAACAGACCTGAACGCGTTGTGTTGTGTTGTGTGGTGTGTTAAGACTTTTGAGTGTTCGCAGTACGAATTGTGAATCACGACCCCTGCAACCAAAACGCTTCAGCAACTGCACGACATTCAACACAAAGCCGTGCAGCCTGAAACACCACCACCACCACCACCAACGCCACCACGCGTGGGCCTATGACTCACGGGTCCTGTGCAGCGGCGTCGTCGGCCTTGCCGTCCTTGAGGAGGGCGATGCTGTCGACCACAGCCTTGATCCACTCCAGCTCCTTGTACAGGCGCAGCACGTTGGCATTCGCCGTCTTCTCCTCAAAGTTGGCATCGTCGACACCGTCGCTCCCATCAGCAAGCGTCATGCGTGTTGCTGCCAGTCATGTGTGTGTGTGTGTGTGTTGTGGTGAGAACGGTCGTAACGATAAGCGCGAGCGTCAGACACAACAAGAACCTCACTAACTCCGTCACTCGCCCAGTGACTCGCCTGCTTGCAGATGCAGGCATTCGCAATCAAACACACGAGGTGTTGCGCGTTTGACTCACCGTCGGTGCCATACTTCTCGATGCACTGCTCGAGGGTCATAAAGTTTCCGGTGCTTTTGGACATCTTGGCGCCGTTGAGCATCAGATGGCCGTTGGCGCGGAAGCTGCGCGGCCACCTGCTCATACAGTGGCAGTTGTGGCAGCAAGAGAATGGGAGGCGGTAGTGGTGAGCTGGAGATTGGGAGGGAAGAGAGAGAGAGAGAAGTGGGACGCGCATACATAATGGCATAAACAAACGCACACGCACACATGCACATGCACATGCAAACACAAAACTGCAACGAGCATACAAACACAACTAGCACACACAAACACACGCACGAACCAACGCACATGGCCTTGTTGTCCTCCCAGATGGCGACGTGGTTGTAAAGGCAGTAGGTGAGGTGGTTGGGGATGAGGTCCTTGCCAGAGACGCGCATGTCCAGCGGGTAAAAGTACTGAAACTCGTTGCGCAGCTTGTCCAGCACGTCCTTGGACACCTTGCACTCCTCCGCAGCAGGCTGCTCCTTCTCAGAGAGGAAGACGTAGTCGAAGAACTTCTCGTCGCACTGCTCCGGCGTGATGCCGTGCGGGTTGCCGTGCGCGCCCCGGAAGTCGCCGTCTGCTCCGTCGTGATGGTGACAGCGGCGGGTGGTAGCGTGGGGGGGGGGGGTGGTGATGGTGAAAGCAGGCCGGGAGTGCAGAAAGCATGACGAAAGCAAAGAAAGACAATAACACCAAAACAACAAACGAAGAAACAGAAAGACGTGACGCGAAAGCAGGTGTCATCCTTGAAACGGCACAACAACGAGCGGGAACCGAGCATACATACCCTGGAGGAGGTGGGCGATGGTGTAGTAGGCCATGTAGATGGTGGAGTCTGAGAGGGACTCGATGAGCCAGTTCTCGTCCCAGGGCAGACGGGAGCCGAGGCCGTACAGCCGCGAGCACGCGTGCTCCTTGAGCCAGTCGAGCGTGTGGGCAAACGCGTGGCGGGACGAGTCGTGGTAGCACTCCAGCTGCGCCAGGGCCTCCTCTGCCTGCGCGCGCCACTTTGGCTCGCCGTACATGAGGTACCACTGGTCTGTCAGGGCAACAACGCACTCGTCGCCCGAGCGGGAGATGACGAGGCCCTCCGGCTCAAAGTACGTGATGGCCTCGCCGCTCGCAATCATGTCCTCCTTCACCTGCGGCTTGGCATCCTGGTGCACAGATGCAGTCACACGGCAGAGATGGTGAGGGGGAGGGCGGGATTTGTGTGTGTGTGTGTGTGTGTGTGTGTGTGTGTGTGTGTGTGTGTGTGTGTGTGTGTGTGTGTGTGTGTGTGCGTGTGTGTGTGTGTGTGTGTGCGAAGGTGAGTGTGTGTGTGAAGGTGAGTGTGTGCGTGTATATGCGTGTGTGCGTGCATGTGCGTGTGTGTGTTGTGTGTGCGTACATATGTGTGAAACGCAGGCAGCGCGTGGCGTGCTCGATCAGTGTACAGGGTAAGCCACAAGGCAAGCCACACAACACAACACAACAAAACAACCAAGCAAAGTTACCACAAGTGACACACCTTCCAGGCGACGTAGGTGATGGTTGGAGAGATCCAGCAGTTGGTCTGGCCGTACATGGTCTCGGGGCGCAGCGTCGCAGCAACAAGGTACACCTTCTTGTCGCCCAGCTCCTTCAGGCACTGCACAGTCAAGGAACCAGGGTAAGGGTGCATGCACGCAGTTGGTGAGTGTGTGTGAGTGTGTGTGTGTGTGAGTGTGTGTCCGTATGTGTGTGTGTGTGTGTGTGTGTGTGTGTGTGTGTGTGTGTGTGTGTGTGTGTGTGTGTACGGGAGCACTAGAGCAGCAATGGCACACCGATGATTGCAAAGCAGGAAACACCACCCCTGCCAACGACTCCCACGCCCACCACCATCCACACCAACACCGTTCCTCGATGCCTCGCACCTCTGGCAGCTCGAGCATGCGCATCTTGATGCCCGTGTACTCTTGGGGCCCAATGCCCTCGCCCTTGGACCGGTCGTGGTCCATGCACGGCTGCTTGTCCTTGGGCGAGTACACCGCGTGCCGCTTGTGAAACTCAATCTTGTGCTTCTCCTTCAGCTTCAGAGCGTGCCAGCTGCATACGTGTGTGTGGTTGGGGGTGAGCGCGCGCGCGCGCGCGCGCGCGCGCGCGTGTGTGTGTGTGTGTGTGTGTGTGTGTGTGTGTGTGTGTGTGTGTGTGTGTGTGTGTGATGATGGGTGCGTGAATGTGTGGGCATGCGAGCTGGTGACAACACGGGACATCGTGTGTGTGTGTGTGTGTGTGTGCATGTATGTATGCATGTCACGCTCCCGACGCACCGGGCAAACGCGTCGTAGTACGGGTTGTAGTCCGTCGTCACAAAGGAGCGGCGCCAGTCGGCCTGAATGATAACAGACACGCACACATCAATGTCCATGCATGCATGCACGTATGAGTTGGAAGGTGTATCCGGACGTGACAGTGCTTGACGGTGCGGATCAACAAAGGAAAAGGTGTGATGCGGTGTATGTGTGTGTGTGTGCACCTTGAGGCCGAAGCGGGTGAGGTGCTCCTTGGCCAGCGGAGGAAAGTACTCGATCCAGTAGTGGGGATCAGCAAACCTGCACACGCGAGCAGACACCAAACGCCAACAGGAATAGGGCAGAGTTCGTCAGCAAGTGGAGGGTGGGGATGACCGAGAAAGGCGTGCAAGTCGGTATTCACGAGTCAATGTACACACACACACACATACACACACACGCACACGCACACACGCACACACACACACACACACATGCACACACTTTGGGATTTCCTCGTCTGGGATGCCCATGTCCTGGAGAATCTCCCACTTGTACTTGGCGCGGCCCTCCTTGGCGGCAATCTTGGACTTCTTGGCCTTGGCGTCCTTGCCGTTGCCTTTGTCCTCCTCTTCCTCCTCCTTGGGGAACTGCGGTGGGCAGCCGTACGTCTCCATCTCCTCCTTCAGGGCATCCGCAGACGCCTGACAGTTGTGTGTGCGTGTGCGTGTGCGTGTGCGTATGTGTGTATGTATGTGGGAGGGGGACCGGGCGAGGGGGGATTGTGAGTTCAAAAAGGAAAAGCGGTAGTTTCGGGAAAGTGGAGAGACTTGTCCGTTGGAGCTTGCAGACAAGAGAGCAGCCAGCATCGCCAACGTCCACACACACACACACACACACACATACACGCACGCACCCATGCACACACACACACATGCACACACACACACAACACACACACACACGCACGCACTCATGCACACACACACATGCACACGTATAAACATACACACACATAAACACACCTTGATGGGCATGCCGGTGCAGTGGAAGCCAAAGGGAAAGAGGATCTTCTTGCCCTTGAGCTGCTGGTAGCCAACAGCAAACTCGGCCTTGGACATGGTGAACATGTGGCCAAGATGCAGCTTGCCGTTCATGTACGGGTACGGGAACGTCACAAAGTACGTCTCCTCCGCATGATCCTTGCCGTTCTGGTGGGATGAGAAAGTGAGCAGAGGTGAGGGTGGGTGGGAAACGTGAATGGGAGAGTGGGTGAAATAGGGGGGAAAAGGCGGCGGTGAGGTGAGTGAGGTGAGTCGGATGTGTCACCACCATGCACTCCATATGTGCCATCGTGCACTCTACATGTGCCACAATGTACTCCAGATCTTCCGCTTGCACCACCCTCCAATCTGCAGCCCCCAATCCACACCAAGTGAGCAAAGCAACCAAAACAACCCCACAAACCGACACACACACACACACACATGCACAAAGCTGCCACACCTCTGGCGCATCGGTCTCGAAGGCCTTCTCCTTGGCCCAGCGGTCCTGGGCCTTTTTCTCCAGCTCAATCAGGAAATCGCGCTTGGACTGCATGTTGTGTGAGAGCATGGACAAGTGGTTGGTCGTCGTCACACTCAGTGATGGATGATGCTGCTGTGCACTGCGAACGCTCCTTCGGAACCACACCAATAAAGCGCCACAGAACAAAGGTTCCACACAAAACACACACACACACACACTCTCTCTCTCTCTCTCACTCCCACCATGGCGGCGGTTGGTCTTGGTGGTTGTTGGTTGTTGTGTCAGCGTGCAGGGGCAGGCACTTTGCTTCTCAGATTGGTTGGTTGGTTCCAAAGATGGAAATGGTGCGCCACACACCGCGATGACAGCGTGTGCTGATGTGAAACAAAAACCGCGTGCAGACTGTGCAGTTACGGCCTAATGCGCACGATATGGTATGTTTCGCACACAGATTAGGCCAAAATTACACTTAGTGCATAGCACGTATTTGAAAAAAACCAGCAGGGATTGAACCGCTGTCCTCGAGACGTGATATGGAGGGAGTGGCTCGTCCGACTGAGCCAAACAAGCCAATTGTCTATTTCGTTGAAATCTTCAGTCAATTTTCTACAACCGAAAGCCAGCCAGCCACAAAAGCAACAAGCACACGAACCGCAGGACCACACTCACATCTCTCGCACACACACACACACCCACCAACGACTCATCCACTCACCAACGACTCATCCACTCACCAACGACTCATCCACCTTCCAACTGTCGCACGGCATCGCGGCCGCATCATTCACCATCATTAGCGCCAGCGACACATACGTCTTTGCTTCCTCTTCCCACCCCCTCGCCTTTGAGACCACAGAAGCGGCGATGTCGAGGTTTGCAGCAGTACGGATTGATGGGCACAGCCATTGCATGCACCATTCGGCATTGCAACACGAGCTGCACAACCTGCCACATGGCTTGGACGAGCCACATGCGCCGCAATACCACCACTCACTCGAGCAGAAGCAGGGGCAAGGCCAAGAGCAAGGCCGGGAGCAGAGTACACACACAGAAGACAGCGCTCGGGTGTCTTTGATAAGATCTCCAAAGCGCACGGCGTTTGAGGCGTCACCGGCACTACCAACGCAGGCTGACAAAGCCTCGCAGCAACAACAACAACAGCAGCAGCAGCAGCAGCATGGAATCGTGGGACCGGCCAAGCGGCCCAACCAGCGCATCCACTCCGACAACGAGGCGCGCAGCGATGACTTGACAGTCAAGACCATGAGCAACAGCGAACCAAGCATTCCGACGTCCTTCAGCACCCATAGCAACAGCAGCACAGGCCAGGATGCTGATGATGCCCCCAACGCTCATCACGACGACGCCGACCGTGCTGATGCGTTTGAGCAGGCAGCCAGCACGGACAACAACCACGTCGCGTTCGATGTCCCGTTGGTGGCATCTGTGCACGAGACCTGGCCGGCAAAGGACTACGAGCGTGCGCTGCAGCCCACGGACCTGTACATCTGCAAAGGGTGCGGGTACTTTACGGACTGCGTGCATTATCGCTGCCGCACATGTGCCGACTACGATCTGTGCCCGGCATGTTTTGAGGCCATCTTCGACAACCACCAGCAGGAACCCAAGTGCCAGCACCCAAAGTCCTCCTTCATGTACATGTGTGATGGCTTTGATTGATCTCCCGAGCAAGGGGGGGGGGGTTATTGTGTGTGTGTGTGTGTGTGTGTGTGTGTGTCTGTGTCTGTGTCTGTGTACGTGTCTGTGTGGGCGGGTGGGTGCACATGTACGTGCACACATAGCTCAGGATGTTACTGTATGTTGAATTGGCTTACGACAGATTCTAATCGATCATATGCGGGTGGATATGCGTGGTTGCGTGGATGTGTTTGTCACGTGTTGGCACGCTGGTGCGTGGGCCACATTGTTCCGTCAATCGTGATTGCGGCTCAGCTTCCACCAGAAGCGACCGTGTCAATACAACACAACACAAGCGCTCCTTAAAAAACGTGACTGCCGTCTCGCGACATCCTGCTCTGCTCTACACACCACACACACACACACACACACACACACACACACACACACACACACACACACACACACACACACACACACACACACACACACACACAATGCAAAGTCGCTTGGAGCCTGTTTACTCAGATTGGAAGGGAACAGTCGGTATGATTCGCTTTGGGGGGTTTCGAACACAAAGAAGAGAGGAAGAAAGAAACAGGAGGGGGAAGAGAACAGGGATGATTATGGCCAACCACAAGCGAGCAGGTGTTGGCGATGACGACAACGACAACATGACGCACAGAGAGAGCACCAAGGTGCATGCGTGTGCATGCCCGTGTGGGTCGCTTGCGCTCACTTCATGTGGTCATACTTCCAGTCATCGAGGTAGAGAAGGCACTCCTTTGCCGCCTGCATGGAGGTGAAGCGGGCAAGGTAGGACGACGCACCGGCCTTGTCGTTGGTGCCGGAGCGGCGAGCACCACCAAACGGCTGCTGCCCAACAACAGACCCCGTGCTCTTCGCGTTGATCTGATGGTGATGAATGAAGAAGCATCGTGGCCCGTGGTTGGACAAAGTGGTGGCAGGCGCATGGCATGGTGAGGAGGGACATGGCAGTTTTTGGTGATGACCGGTCGCACAAAACAAGCGCGCGCACACAGGACATGATATTGCAGAGGGGGGGGGGGAGGTTCACACACATCTAAGTGCATGCACACACTCTCTTTCTCGCTCGCTCCCACACACACACACACACACACACACACACACACACACACACACACACACACACACATCACGACGACAAACGCACGTAGATGTTGCCTGCGGCGTGGCGCAGCTTCTTGAGACCCGTGTCAATGACGCTGCGGTCGGCAGAGAAGATGGAGCCCGTCAGGCCGTATGGTGACGTCTTGTTCACAAGGTCAAGCGTCTCCTCCCACTGGCTGTTGGTGTGGTGATGTGGTGGTGGTGGTGGTGGTGAAGAAGAGATGTGTGTGTATGTGTGTGTGAGAGAGTGGTGGGTATGGCAGGTTGCAGTCGCTGTTTCGACGGAAATAAAACCAGCACAAACGCAAACACACGCAAACACACTACGCGACACAACATACCAAGCCGACCCACACAGACATCACACCACAACACCACAAAAACAACAACAACAGCAGCAGCAGAAGCAGAAGCAGAAGCAGCAACACTCACTCGTCTGGGTAGACGTAAGCGGTGATGACGGGCCCGAAAATCTCCTCCTCCATGAGCTTGGAGTGCGGGTTGGTGCTCTGCACGAGGGTGGGCTGCACAAACCAGCCGACGCTCTTGTCCGCCTCGCCGCCTGCAAGCACCTCCATCTCGCTGGACTCCTTGGCGTAGTTGATGTACGACACAATCTTGTCAAACGCCTTCTCGTCAATCACAGCCGTCATAAACGTCTTGAAGTCGTCCGGCTCGCCAACCTGGATGTCGCGCATGCAGTCAAGCATGCGGTCGCGGAACTCGGGCCACATCGACTCCGGCACATACAGCCGCGAGCACGCAGAGCACTTCTGTCCCTGGTACTCAAATGCCGAGCGGATGGTGCTGTACACCGCGTTGTCGAGGTCCGCCGTGTTGTGCACGTAGTGGAAGTTCTTGCCACCGCACTCGCCAACGAGCCGCGGGTACGTCTTGTACTTGTCCAGGTTGTCTGCCACGCCCTTCCACAGCGTGTTGAACGTGCGCGTGGAGCCCGTGAAGCTGATGGCGGCGAGATCTGGCGACGACACAATCTTGTCGCCAAAGGTTGGCCCGGCGGCAGGGACGAAGTTCACCACGCCGTCGGGCAGGCCGGCCTCGCGCAGCGCCTTGAACACCACGTAGTTGGACAGGGCGGCGTTCTCGCTCGGCTTCCACAGCACCACGTTGCCCATGATGGCCGGGGTTGCGCCCAGGTTGGCGCCAATGGCCGTGAAGTTGAATGGCGGGATGCCGGCAACAAAGCCCTCCAGCCCGCGGTACTCGACCCTGTTCCACACGTGCTGCGCGTGGTGCGCGGGCTGCTCGGCGTAAATCTCGTTGGCATACTTGACGCCAAAGCGGTAGAAGTCGGCCGCCTCCGCAGCAGCGTCAATCTCCGCCTGAAACATGTTCTTGCCCTGGCCAATCATCGTGGCCGCAAGGACCTCGTTGCGGAACTTGGTGCTCAGCAGGTCCGCCGCCTTCAGGAACACCGCCGCACGGTGCTCAAAGTCAAGCTGCTCCCATTCCTCGCGCACACTCAGCGACGTCTGCAGTCCAGCGTGAGAGGTGTGTGTGTGTGTGTGTGTGTGTGTGAGAGAGGGTGTGTGTATGTGTGTGTAAGTGTGTGTGTGTGTGTATGTGTGTGTGTATGTAAGTAGGAGTGTGTATGAGTGTGTGTAAGTGTGTGTGTGTGTGTGTGAGTGTGCATGAGTGTGTGTGTGTGTGTGCGTGTGTGGTACGAATTTAGTGGCAACATGCATGCGTGTCATTTGAGCCCCATCACTGCCACACATGCATGCCACACGTGCATGTGTGCAACAACACCAAACGCGACCGCAAAAATCGCACATCGCAACATACGTCAATGGCCTCCTGAATGAGCTCCGGAGATGCGAGGTGCACGCGGGCGACGGCGTGCTGGTGGTCAGAGCACTGGCGTGGTGGCAGCGGGCACATGACAGCGTCGACACATGAGGGTGGTTTCAATTGAAGAAACAAGGGCGTTGATTGGCAGTGAGCAACAAGTGACAATAAGGAGGAGCAGGAGGAGGCACAGCAACGCAAGCTAAAAGGTAAGCAAGTGTGCACGTGTGCGTGTGGTGGGAGGTGGGACGGAGGAACGGAAGAGCAAAGGCTGGGTCACCACGCACAAGCACGCACACAAGCGTACACACACGTGCACATGCAAACACATGCACACCGTGGTTGCACCGTACCGCGCGCTGCTCGATGGTGTTGCCGGTAAACACCTCCTTGCCGTTGATGACGCAAGGAATGTCCACTGTCTCGGAGCGAACGCGGGCGCACGCCTGCATGTTGTATGCATCGCAACGTGAGCGCTGGTGAGGATACTTGGAGAAGCAGGGGAAGCAGGGATGGCTGAGGTGCAGCGAAGGCCAAGGCGCAGCGCCAAGGCCCAGGTGCAGGGAAGGCAAGGAAGGCAGGGAAGGCAGGGAAGGCAGGGAAGGCAGGGGAAACAGAGAACATAACAAACACACACACACACGCACGCACGCACATACATACGCACGCACGCACCGCAAGGAGCTCCATGCGCTCCTCGGACTCGGGTGGGTACTCGCGAACAGGCTCGTTCGAGATGGGTGGCAGCACGGTTGTGTGCGACAGCGGTCGTCGGCTCACAGAAGCCGCCAATGCCCTGGCGTTTGTTGTTGTTGTGGAAGAAGAGGGAGATGGAAGGAGTCGATCAAAGGGGGGACGATCATGATGCAGGAGCCGGCTTCGGCGAGGCACAGAACAAGAGGACGAGCTTGCGTCACGCGTCTCGACACACACACACACGCACACACACACGCACACGCACACACGCACACGCACACGCACACGCACACACGCACACGCACACGCACACACACGCACTTACGATGCAGCCCTGGGAGCAGTCTGGCGCACTGCAGCCATAGCGGTGCTCGCCATGGTGGTTCTTGGTTGTGGGAGGAAAGCGACGAAGATTGAGTGAACAAACGCAAGCCTGGTGTGCGTGTGCGTGTGTGTGGGTTGTCAAGATCAACAGAGCAGGAAATGAACGAATGATGAGGAAGGAGAAGGAAAAGAAGCAGGGCAAAGCAAAGAAGAGCGGCAGTGACAGACAGACAGCTCTGTGTGTGTCGTGAACAAGTGATGTCTTCTTTGCTTCCATCGCTGTGGCAGCAGCCCTTGCATCAACGCCTGCAACAACGTCACACCCTCACCACACACTGCCAATCAAGCAAGAAGGCAGCAGCCCCAGCCCACACATAACGTTCTCGCACCGGAAAAAGTCGCTGGGCCTTGCTTGCTGTGCAGCAGAAATGACCGGCTGGTTTTTGTGTTGTCAGCAAAACTTTCGCAATCGCTTTTCCAAATACTGCGAGAAATAGCTAAAATCTTCACCAATTACTCCGAACGACAATATGTGTGTAATTTCAAAGAAATTTCCAGGACAGCTGTGTGCTGAGTTTGTGCTGTCGCTGTCTGTCGGTGGATGACCTTCAATCTTTGATAGTTTTCCCAACTGCGAATCCCACCGCACTCTGCCGTGCTCGCAAGCACTGCTGCTGGGTTGGTTGTGTTTTTCCCAACCGAACCTTGGCCTGCAACCCTCCAGCACACGCACACGCGAACCACACCACAACGCAAAGCCGCAAGGGCAACACACAGCACCCTACGAGAAAGCAGCCTTAGGGTTAGGAATCGCCCACTGGCCGTGCTGCCCTTGCTTTGCTTGCTTGCTTTCTTGCTTGCTTGGTTGTAAGAAGCAGGCCTGAAAAAATGGCGCACCGCCCAGGCCAAGGAGAAGGGGAGCGAGAGGAACAGCGACAACAACAACAACAAGGTTCTGCCAGCGCACCTTCCTCCTCCTCATTCTCCTCCACAGCCAATGTTCCACCTCCTCCCCCTCCTCCTTCACCGCCGCTGCGTACTTCCTCTTCCTCCGTGCCGCCAGCACACAGCAGCGCGTGGTTGCGTGAAGCAGCTGCGCCATCCACCTCGCTCGAAGCGACGCACCCATCGACAAGAGCAGACGCAGCACCACCCAGACCACCGGTTTCGCTAACAAGACCAGTACTGGCCACCCCGCCAGTGTCGCCATCACGACAGTCACAAGCAAACACTTTAATGACATCACCATCATCGGACACGGCTGTGCCAGCCTTTGCCAGTGCTGTCGCCGCAGCACCTCCACCTCCTTCTTCTGCTCCTCCTGCCGCTGCTGTCGCAACCCTGCCGACAAGCGCATCGACAAGGACAACACCGACAACGATCCCACTAACAACACCGCCTCAGCCCCGCATGATACATGTGTCCACCCCGCCAACGCCGCAAGCGCAACCAATTACCCCAAACACGACAGCAGCACCTGCAATGGGCACGTCACAGCCGTCGACAGACACCGTGCATCCGCTTCCGCTGGTCGTACCCAGGCCCGCGTCGCCCTCGCCTTCCTCCGCGGCTACCACCCAAGGTCAAGGTGTGATCGTGCACCAACTGTCACAGCAACACACGGGCCAAGGCCAACAATCCCAAACACAACAGCAGCAACAGCAACAGCAACAGCAGCAGAAGGTACAACCGCTGCTGCCTCCATGCCAAGCTCGAATCTGCAGCGTTTGCTTGTCGACAGGCGTCAGCGCGCCAGTGTTGAAGTGCAGACTATGCGGCGTACAAGCACACGGTCGCTGCTACGGCTGGACCTGCGACCGCACACCAAGTGCGACCACCCTTGCTCTGCATGTACTTGCCTGTTCCATTCCATTCCATGCATGCATGCATGCACGCGGGTGTAGTCTGCGATCACAGCATCTCTGCTTCCGCCACTTGTCCGCTCAACTCCATGGCTTCAGTCGGTCAAGGCGGCTTGCTGTTGCTCTGCTTGCTGTTGCTCTGCTTGCGCTAACCCGTGTCCAACGTCCTTGTTCGCCCCGTTCTGCTGTCATTAGGAGATACGGAGACGGATCAGGACCCGCTTTGGTTTTGTGAGCCGTGCCTGGGCGGCATATCAGCCCCCTCCTGTGCCCTCTGCCCACGCCTCGGAGGCGCCATGAAAATGGTGTGTGTGTGTGTGTGTTGTGTGTGTGTGTTGTGTGTGTGTGTGTGTGTGTGTGTGTTGTGTGTGTGTGTGTGTGTGTGTGTGTGTGTGTGTGTGTGTGTGTGTGTGTGTGTGTGTGTGTGTGT